CCCTGCCGGCCTCACCCCGCAGGTCTCCCGCAGCGTCAGAGCGTGGTTTGGCTGTGATCGCGTTTTTGCTCGCCTTAGATGTATTCCTGAGGAAAATCTGTGTGGGCTTCAGAGGTTCGGCCCCCCCCACGGGGGCTGCTAGCGGCCACCGCTGGTGGCCGGTCACTGAGGAGCAGCCTCGCCTTGGGCTCACACCGCCGAAGCAGCTGCTTCACAGCCACCAGCACTGCTCTGCAGCCTTGGGAACAAACCCGCTGGATTCACTGTGTTCAACCCCCAAATGATGGGGGATGTGAAAGCAGGTTGGGGCAGTGTTTTGGTGTGGCCTAGACAAACGCCAGGTGCCCACCAAAACTGCTCTGTCACTCCCCTCCTCAGCTGGACAGGGGAGAGGAAATGTGATGAAAGGCTCGAGGGTCGAGACAAGGACAGGGAGAGATCACTCACCAGTTACCGTCACGGGCAAAACAGATGGAACTTGGGGAGGAAAAACAGTTTATCACCAATCAAATCAGAGTAGGATAGTGAGAAATGAAAACAGATCTTCAAACACCTTCCCCCCACCCCTCCCTTCTTCCCGGGCTCAGCTTCACTCCCATTTCTCTCCCTCCTCCCCCCGAGCAGCGCAGGGGGACGGGGAGTGGGGTTGCGGTCAGTTCATCACACGTTGTCTCTGCCGCTCCTTCCTCCTCAGGGGGAGGACTCCTCACACTCTGCCCCTGCTCCAGCATGAAGGTTCCTCTCATGGGAGACAGTTCTTCATGAACTGCTACAGCGCAGGTCCTTCTCACGGGCTGCAGCTCTGCACAAACGTGGATCCTTCCTACGGGGTGCAGTCCTTCAGGAACAGGCTGCTCCAGCGTGGGTCCCCCATAGTCTGCAGGGGAACCTCTGCTCCGGCACCTGGAGCACCTCCCCACTTCTTCTTCACTGACCTTGGTGTCTGCGGAGTTGTTTCTCTCACACAGTCTCACTCCTCTCTCTCAACTGCCGTTCCCCAGCAGGTTTTTCCCCTTCTTAAATATGTTATCTTAGAGGTGCTACCACCGTCACTGATGGGCTCGGCCTTGGGCAGCAGCGGGTCCGTCTTAGAGCCGGCTGGCACTGGCTCTGTCAGACATGGGGGAAGCTTCTCGCAGCTTCTCACAGAAGCCACCCCTATAGCCCCCCACTACCAAAACCTTGCCACGCAAACCCACAACAGGCAGCTGTAACAGTGGAGATGTTTTGGGGGTGCCAGCCTAGAACCTGACCGGAGCAGAAATCCTAGGGGCGTCGATGCTTGGGAAAGCCTCTGCCAGCCCACCCATCTTCCGTGGGCCTGTTAGAAGAAAACAATGCTTTCTTTGTAGTCTGTAAATCACATTTTAGGTACAGTGCCTACAGCTCCTCCTTGGGCCTCTCAGCCAGAAGCAGGAGCACGCCGAGGGCTCTGGTTCTCTGCGGTTCACGCTATATCCACGTGGAAAATCAGGGGCTGGGTGACAGAGAGAGTCTGCTAGTGCTGGTGCTTGAGGAGACACCTGCCAGCTCAGCATGGGGCTCTCTGTCAGACATGGGGGAGGTTTCTCGCAGCTTCTCACAGAAGCCACCCCTATAGCCCCCCACTACCAAAACCTTGCCACGCAAACCCACAACAGGCAGCTGTAACAGTGGAGATGTTTTGGGGGTGCCAGCCTAGAACCTGACCGGAGCAGAAATCCTAGGGGCGTCGATGCTTGGGAAAGCCTCTGCCAGCCCACCCATCTTCCGTGGGCCTGTTAGAAGAAAACAATGCTTTCTTTGTAGTCTGTAAATCACATTTTAGGTACAGTGCCTACAGCTCCTCCTTGGGCCTCTCAGCCAGAAGCAGGAGCACGCCGAGGGCTCTGGTTCTCTGCGGTTCACGCTATATCCACGTGGAAAATCAGGGGCTGGGTGACAGAGAGAGTCTGCTAGTGCTGGTGCTTGAGGAGACACCTGCCAGCTCAGCATGGGGCTCTTGGTAACAGCAACTTTGCAGCATGCACTGAATCACTGAGCACGTGTGCTGCTCTCTGCTGGGGCTGGTCCTTACGTGGGGAACCCCAAAATGGAGTGTAGGGGAAGGGGAGGTGGCCTGAATGTTGTCTTAGTCACAGGGAATAGTGGGAGTTCTGGGACGTGAAAGTAGAATAAATTCATAAGGAAGTAAGTTGCATTACTTTGCTCAAAGAACAAGACATTTTCTGGATGAACATTTGCAGAAAACTATTGGCATCTGCGATAATGAGCTTCTGTTGTTTTTCTGCTTAAAATGTCTATTGAATAGGATGCTGGATTCTGTTCAGAGCTAATACTCTTGCAGATGCATTTTAGTAACAAGATATGTGCCTTAAATTTGCTCTGCTTTGCTTGGTCTGTGGTAGAAAACTATTGCTACCTTGGAACTCATTCTGCTGACATTTTTGTGCTGTTTTAACAAGATCTTGTAAACGTCTCCACAGATTTCATTAAAAATAGGTGGTAATGAAACCACAAGGACATCAAATACCTGGAAAAGAAAGACAAGTCCTTCTCATGTTACTTGCATAGCGCTGCTATGGATATCACATGGTGAAGAGGTGTGGACAGGTGTTTATGTAGATGGTGGGTTGAATTCCCACCAAAATGTTTATATTGCAAGGATTAGAATGGTTATAGCTCAAGGATTATATTGCATTAAGGGATTTATAATCCTGGGCTGACATTTATTTTAATTGCTTTAAATTTGAAGTCAGTGAATTTTCAAATAAATAAACGGGTCAGAGTTTGCCCAGGAGCTAACACTTCCCCCGAGCTGCGGAGGCAGTTCGCCTTTCGGGGCGCTGCCCTGGCCCTAGTCTCCATCGCGTTTGGTGCTTCTAAGGTTGCCACCTAGTGATAAAAGGCGTGAAGAAAACCTTGTCGGCTTACTACTGTAGTACAGCAGACGGGAAGAAGGTAATTACAATGAATATATCGCATGTAACTAAAGAAAATACTTTTTTTTTTTTTTTACTTAAATGTCATGAAAAGTTTCAGTCATGAATACCGGCTTCTGAAGGACAGCTAAGAAGTTTTTCCTCTGCACGATGCCAAAAGATCTTGTCTTGATTTCTCCGATGGTTTTTCAGGTGAGTCCCACCCAGTTCCAGAGGAGTCTGCACTGTGGGGTCATGTTGTGTCCTCAGATTTTAGAAACGGACTTCCAGTCAAGAGATACAAGCCTTCCAAACAGGCCAGTTTTCCTCGAAGCTTCTCTCTAAATTTCTTAAATTTAAAACCTACACGTTAAGCAAACTCATTTGTCACTTGAAAAATAAATGCAATTGATTTTCATGTGTACCATAGCATTTTAGTGTGGTTATGGAATCACCATGCCGTGTGATGCCTGCAGCATCTCCCCAGTACTGAATTCTCTATTTCACTGGAGTAGCCAAGTCCCCACCCCTATGATTTTAGATAATGGAGAAATGAATATGTTGGAAACTTCAATTTATTTTAAATGTCAGCCCCCACTAGCCACCTCTGTTGCTAGCTATTTTCACTGCTGAGTATTTGCTATGCTGCTTTCTGACCAGTCTGTTGGTTGTCTGGCTATTGCTATGCTCACATTGCAGTTTCTCTGAGGTTTGAGTTCTTCTGGGGTTCAGTGATGTACAGGATTATATGGACTTCTCTTGCTGAAAACAGATCCTTCCTGCCCGGGGTATTCTCCTTTCCCTAAGGTAAGCAATGGGAAACTTGGAGCCCATATTTCCCAGGGACTGTTTCCTGCAGCAGTGCAGCATTTGTAAATCCTTTGTGACTCCCAGACATGCTGAGCATTAGGCTGGCTCATGCTCAGATAATAATACTGGAATTTACCCCAACTAGAAAAAGGGGGGGAAAAAAAAAAAGAGCTCTTTTTCATTTTTTAAAGAGGAATGCACCCAAACTTATGGGGAGTTTTGGCCTGTCTGGAAGTGCCAGAGCCACAAAGCTGGCTCTGGCTCTCTGACAGATCAGCTTGTTAGATCAGTAATGGCAAGTCACCTCTGAGTTTGACCACAAGAGGTTTAGCCAAGGGGACCCACGACAGTGAGCTCTAATGCTTTTGAAATAAATTTTCAGCCAGCAGGAAGAGTTTCAGCATTGCAGTTCTTTAAAAGGGACTGTTCTTTTTACTGTTCACCAGCTTACGTCAGTAGGGACTGCCTGTCC